ATTTAGAGATAAATATGGAGCACAGAGGTTTCCTTTTGCAAAACCATACAATTTCTTAGGGATAGAGTTGATACTGTAACTTGACTCTCCTCTAAACTCCACGTTTGCCTCTATTTTTGTCCAAGGTGATAGCTGAAACAGATCATTGTGATTTACTGTGTACTTCTCCAGCTTCGACTCACACTACTGTCTCACACTTCGTTTTGTATGTACTGAAACTATCCTCGTTCCTTTTGTTTTGATAAACTTATCTCAGAACGGCATTTTTAGATTTACAGAAAAACTGCATAGAGTTTCCATGTAGTCTACACCCAATTTCCCCTATTATTAACATCTTACCTTAGTATTAATGAATCAATATTGCTATGTTAATATCAACTACACTCCATCCTTTATTCAGATTTCCTTAGTTTTTATGTGATGTCCTGTGCTGTTTCAGGATCCTAGCCAGGATAGCACGTTACATTCAGTCATGAGTCCTTGGGCTGACAGTTTCTCACTCTCCTTCTTTTGTTGACCATGACAGTTCTGAGGGATCGTGGTCAGGTATTTAGTAGAATGTCCCTCAATGGGGACTTACCTGGTATTTTCCTCATTTAGACTGGGGTTATGAATTTTGGGGAGAAAGATCACAGAGTTCAACTGTCATTTTCATTGTATCGTATCAAGAGAACATAGTATCAACAAGACATAACTTCTGACGTTGACTCTGACCGCCTGGTTAAGCGTTGTAAAGTCACTCTTTTTCCCTTTCTTTCCATACCGTACTCTTTGAAAGGAAGTCACTATGCACAGCCCATACTTCAGGAGTGGGGAATTATGTTCCATTTCCTTGAGGGTGGAGTACCTACATAATGTGGAATTCTGCATGGGAAAACTTCCTCTTTATTTCTTTATTCAATCATTTATTTATATAAGCATGGATGCATGGCTATTTTATATTTTTGGTTATAACTTATAAACCCACGCTAGTTTATTTTGTTGCCCAAATTGTTCCAACTTTGGTTACTAGTAGGAGCTACCTGAACCTTTTTCTTTGCTTCGCTTGGTCTTGAATGTTCCTCTACCTCTTTTTTTCAGGATTCAGCTGAGATAAAAAATATCCCCAACAGGACTTCCCCTACTCCAGCCTTTAATTGCTCACCACTCTAGGTTATATACTTTTCCTACGTACATCTAACGTTTAACCCTACTACGGTAATACACTTATCTGTGTCTCCCACTGCATATAAGCTTTTTGAGGGCAGGGATCACATCTAACTTATTTTATGTGCCTAGTATATAGTACAGAGCACCTTGCTCCCACAAAGCAGGAGTTCAACAAGTATTTCTAGAATGATCACTACAGTTTTCTTTCATTCAAGAATCCAGGAACGCCTAATACATTAACCAGCAGCCACGCAGGTGCTACTGTTGTGTTAATGTTGGTCACATACCACATGACACACAACAAGCTCAGTCAGGATCTAAGTTAACGCTTCCTGACGTCTCATGTCGAAGCAGACTTTTCCTGACTATTAATTCCAGTTACATTTGCATAATTAAATTAAAAAGCAATGACCAATTACCTTTATATTTAGACTCCCAGCTAGGTAGCTTCTAGCTCTGCTTGGCTTGAGAGAAGTGGTACCCCCCAAACGGCACACAGACACTTTGGTTATGAGGTTCCCAAGTGACTCACTGCAGGTTGAGGATTGCATAGCCACTGAAGAAATAAATCTGCTGAACTGCATTCTTTGTTGTCAGTATTTACTATGAGGAAATGACTTCAAAAATTAATCAAGACTCTTCCAAGATATAGGAGTAAGATAAATTCTATTAAGCTGAAACAGGTTTTTAGGTTGGATCATGCTACCACCCTAGTCCAAGCCACCATTAACTCTTGCCTAGTCACCTTCCTACGTGCACTCTTGCCCTCATCTAACCACTCACCATAAATGAGGTCATGTCATTCCACTTAACTCCTTTGATAATAAAATTCAAATCTGCAACGATGTCCTTGAAGGCTCCACATATCGACTGGGCTCTTTTACCTCTTCAAACTCATCCCATACTCATCTCTTCCTTGACTGTTACTGGTTCAGACACGCTCATCTTTCTGAAGCCACAGCTCAGCCCCAGTTTTTGCTGTCCAATAGCTCAATAATCTTACAAGAACTTTTCAAAGTTCTTCAATCCTTAATATTCCTTATGCATGAGCTGTGTGGCCTGAGAACAAAGGCAACTTTGTCTTAAGGAACTCCTACACATACACTGAAATAATGATTACATTAAAACATAAAACCCCATATTCTTCTTCAGTTAGAAGCTTTTTTGGTGTTAAAATGTCCATTATCTTTAAGCCCTGGATAACTAATATGCTACTTTCCTAAGAAATAATAATATTAGTTTGATGTTGACATTCTGCAAAGACTAACTCAAATATTAAAATGGTTTTTATTTACAATAAAGAGTTAAACACAAATTTAAATAACATTGTTCTTAAAATAATAATGTATTAAACGCTGAGTCCCTTTGATAACTAAAGGTACCTTATTACATCTTTCCAAATGTATGGAAATTAACATGATCCTACAATGCTGACAGCTTGAAATAAAACCAAAAAAGCCAGCCCAAACAAAAACCGTAATAATCTGCTTCTACTTAAATGCATTCAAAAAGGCATTAACTCTCTGCTTCCTATTTTGATGATGTTCTGGAAATACCTATCTAAGCAAAGATTTTTGAGTCTATATGTGAATATTCTTTCTATATCTTTCAAAATCTTGGAAAAGAAGTCCAAAAGTTTATCAGGTCCTTAACACCCAGAAGTTAGTAAGATGTGATTGTCTTGAAGCTCTGAAAAACGGAAAAATTTCACTTAAGGCTGTCTCATTTGGCAGTAAAAACTGATCTGAACTGGTGTAAGACTATTTTTAGTCTTTATTAATCTCATATAATGTGAACATTCATACATTTTGCTGCAGAAATATTAATGTGTTCGAAAATAAGAGTATTGCTCCAGACTCTGTTGGAGGATGTTACATAATACACAGTATATACGCTACTACTTTTCTGAAAGTCAAAAAGTTCTAAATTCCAAAATGCATTTGGCCCAAGGGTTTCAGATAATGAAACGTGGGTCTGTAGTAGGCTTCAATAATTCTAAATGGAGAGATACAATGGGATAGTCTGGTTACCCTTATTATTCACATACTTATTCATAACAAGCTCTTCCAAGTGTCTATCTTTATAAAACACATGTGTTGTATAATTGTATCTTTTCCTAAAAAGTGTTCAGACTTAAAGTAGCTCAAACAGGAAGCTTCACACTACTTTTGCTTGACCTGCTTACCCTAACTTCTTTCCTTTTACAAATTGAAAACAACTTATAAAATTAACTAGACGGTCTAAAAGATTACATGGCTTAAAAATTGGGGTAGCAGGGCTTCAAATTCTTCTCCTCTAAGTCAGAGGCTGGCCACCTATGATCTGTGGGCCAAATCCAGCCCTGCACCTATTTCACAGCTTTGACTGTCTGTTTATACATGGTCTGCAGCTGCTTTGTTGCTACAATGGCAGAGTTGTGTAGCTGTAATATAGACCACATGACCTGGAAGCCTAAAATATTTACTATTCGGCCCTTTACGGAGAAAGTCTGCTGCCTTTGCTCTAAGTCGTTTACCCCAGGATGGTACTGACACCTATGACGATCTGACAGCTATGATTTTGTAAAATAAGCTGGTTTATCTGCATTCAGGGCCTACTTAGGGCTTACAGGTGACATTT